CCCCTGCTTAGGGCAGGCTCTTCCCTGTCTAAACTATCTTAGCTAAGCCTTTGTCTAACCTGAATTTAGAAACCTCCAATGATGAAGACACTATAGTCTCTCTAGGTAACCGATTCCACTGCTTAACCACCCTCATAGATAATAAGATCTTCCTAGTATCCAGCCTGTTTCCCTTGTTCATTAAATATTGTTACTTCTTGTCCTGCCCCCTGCAGCCACAGAAATGAGTCTATCACCATTTTCCTTAAAACAGCCCTTTTGTAACGGGCTACTTTTGTCCAAACTACTTCTTCCAACCTTTCCTTGTATTCCCTGCTCCCCAGACCGCTAATGAGTTTTGTTGCTTTCCACTGACTCATTCCAATTTGCCAAGTTCTTTCCTGAAGCATCGTGCCCAAAACAGATAAGGTCTCACTGATGTTGAATAGAGTAGAATAATTGATTCCAATGACTTGGATGTAACACTCCTTTTAACACACACCAGTACACTATTGGCTTTTTTTTTTTGCAACAATGTTATGTTGTTGACTTATATTTGGCTTATAGTGGCTTAACCTCAATGCCCTGTAGTACTCCAACATAGCCAGTCATTCCCCAGTTTACATTTATGCATTTCATTGTTCCATCCTAAGTGTATTACTTTGAACTAGGCTTCATCAAATTTTATCTGATTTATTTCAGACCATTTGTCCGAAGTATCAAGGTCATTTTGAATAAAATCCTATTCTCCAAAGCATCTGTTACTGCACCTTAACTAGTGTCACCTGCATATTTACAACTGAGCTTGCTTTAAACCTTGCTGAGTAGCATGATAAAATTAGCCTATGCTGAGTTCTGGTAGGCTGCTTGAGCCTTGCAAGGAACACCAATGGAGTTCCCATGGATCCATTAGGAGACTACAGACAGGTCATGGTCCTGTGGCTTCTCAAAGGCATAAAGCAGGAAAAAAAAAGATGGGCTGTGAAGGAATCAGCGGTGTCTTAAGATGACCAATTCTACATGCAGACATGGAAGAAAGAATACACTGAAGTTACTGAATCATTGATTCAATACATATACTTTATACACAGATTGCTGCCTACTTTAAAATTAAGTACCAAATTTAGAGTTAGTGAATTGTAGTGGATTTTCACTTGTTACCATCAGGTCTGAATATCTGATTCTGTTATCAATAGACTACTCCAGTCAGGGGAAATGATTCTCAAGTATTGCACTTTAACCAGGGCCTTAGGTTCAGTACTTTTTACAGCATCAGTAGCTTTTTAATATGAAAGCACTCACTCAGAGAGACTGTGTGTTTGTGTTTGTTTGAATGTGTGCATGTCTGTACATGTTCCCTCCACAGAAAATGGATATCAGATACCTTCAAATATTACAAAAGCCTCAATAGGCCTGATTTTCATGTCAGCCTCAGTGCAGCCTCCCTTCTTCTGAATGTGTAATTCTGTAGGCACAAAACCTTTAGACATCTCCATGGCTCCTATGTATTAGGTTGTTAGACAGCCTAGTGATATCATATGTACTTGCAAGTGACTACGAATACAAAATGAGGTTAATAGGATGAAAATCTAGGGCCTAGAATACATACTTTTAACAACTGGAAAGGATAAGGTTATATTTAGAGTTGAACTTTCAATTTCTACCAATGTGTGTGCAAAACTGCACGTGCAAAACACTTGCATGAACAATTTGTACCATGCATTGGAGTAATTCTAAGTCTTACAAGTTTATAATGGTGGACAAACGGGATTTTAGGGCAAGCAGTCTATTGCTAAGGTTTTGTGGGAGTTAATTCTAACACGTGAGAGAATTATATAAATGCACAGAGGGGTTTTGACAAAGCGTGGATAGAATATGAAGGATACTTGTAAGAAAAATATGGTCATTAAACTACTGTAGAATTATTTACTAAGGGTACTCTTTTACCCCAAATATGGAATACTTCAAGCAATATTAAAATTAATAATGTTACTTAAATCAGCAATATTCTAGTACCCTTCAACATCCAGAAAGCCTCTACCAGGGCATTAGATCCAGGTATGACTTAGGTTTAGAGGCTTTTTTGGAAAAAAAAACCCAAACAAAAGAACAAATTTCCCCTCTTTGTACAAGTCGCTCCTTCATTTATTTCTGTTGTCCCAAATACAGTGTGTCCATTTTATTTGCTGTGCTAATAATCGCAGGTGATGGGGCATTGAAAACAGTCTTAATCTTCCTTTCCCAAAGACACATCATCAAATGTTAACATACCATGAAAAAGCTTCCTCAGTATAGCAGCAGTATGATTACTTTCTCTATAAACTAAGACAACTTTAATTTCCAAGGTTGTTGATCTGGCTCCTGTTGTGACCACAGATTTGCTAAAAAATGAATAGACAAACCATTAACTGAATCCTAGATAAACCATTGGTTCAGTCATCAGGGATCCTTTAAGTAAGAGATTATTCTTAAAGAGCTCATACCCAGAACAGGATTTATATTTCAGCTTTCCTTACTGTCTGTTTCTCTCTCTGGGTTTTTGTACTATACAATTGGTATTCCCACCAGTGACTGAGTATATCACAAAATGGTTAGCTCAAACAGAAGGAAAAAATGGAATTTTGTTTGCATTGACCATAATAAATAAACATTAATTTCTAAAAGTTAATAGAAAAATTAAGTGTGCATCTGATTTATGCATAAGAGTGAAAGTATCATTCAGTTGATCCCTCAAGAATCAACTTGCATTGAGAAGAAGCACCCAAATGATGCACCACATGTTAGTTTAGCCAAAGCTGTTTGCCATGCAGATTGAGGATATAAGGCATGAAGCATAGCAAGGGGCTTGCCTAATAAAATAAATTGGTATGATTAGAGGATTGGAAGTTCATTTGCGTCCTGGCTAAAAGTCAGGCCTATTAATTTAAGATTGTAAGGAGATGTAGTCATGTATTATAATATAAATATTTTTTAATATTTAACATTTATTAAAGACATTGTTTTGGAAATGCTAAACCAGCTGAAATAGCTCTGCTGAGAGAGTATCTGAGTGAAGATGTATAAGGACTGAACCCTGCACTTAGACCTGGCATTTTCCCTTAATCACCACAAAGCTATGCAAACACAGCAACTGATCACCTGGGGGAACTGGCCTTTAGAAAAGAAAACAGTTCTTTTTTTATTAAAAACATGCAATTTTGGGGGTAAAAAAACTGTTGTATTTCTAGCTGTGAGTGTCATGTGCATTTAATAACCTCATGTATCTATACATTTGAAGTGTTTTAGACTATTCTGAAATACTTCACACTGAAAAAGGTCCCATATTAATTTGCCATTATTCATAAAATGCCAATCAGTCATATATTGTTGTCATAGTAACATGCAGGCATTTAGAAAAATTCAGGAAATGACTTAATTGTAAACTTTTTGTTCATAAAGCTAATCTGAAATTAGCGGGACTTTTTTTTCTATGTTCCATTGGTGTTTCAGGTAATAAGAGACTACTATTTTCCCTCATCTTCTGAGAACATGGGACCTCAACACACATAAATAAAAAGACTAGTTCAGTGATTTCAAACTGGTGCTGTGGAACTGTGCATAATCATAATTTGAAGGCACAATGATGAACTAAACGATATTTACACAAGCACTTGTAATCACGGCTCACAAGTCTCTCCAAATGTTTTATCCCTATTAACTCAATTGTACAATTGGTTTGCCACTTGGTACCTTATTCATCCAATAAATCTTCCAGCTAGATAGGAAATCTGGTCCATTTTACCATCATCTTTCACATTAAGCATACATCTCCTGCTGCTATACTAGGAGGAAGTAAAAATCTAAGGATTCTTTAAAACACTTCATTATTTTTTAATTCTACACTACAGTACATTAAAATTAAAATGAAAAGTCCCTGCACCTTATATTACTTGATGAGCTTTTCAGAAATTGTCATAATTGTGTGAGGTTTTTTAATGACTGCTTCATGTAAAATACCTTTGGTAGTGCAAGATCAAAGCAAGGCAGAGATGTCTGCTACAAGATGATAATTCAGGTAAACACACTCAATGGTAAAAATGCAAATGTTGGAAAATGATTGACTTTGCTTCCATTTAATGTTTATTTTCCCTGCCAAAGCAACGACAAATTCAAACTAATTCCGCCCTTGCTATAGAAAAAAAAATATCGAAACAACTAAAAGTCAACTCATTTCCATTTTTTAACTTAACCTAGATCTCTGATGGTGAAATCTGCCCGAAGGCTTCATTTCAGTCAGGTTTCCATTGTTCTCCAGGAACGTAAGAAGAAAAGTAAAAGGAATTAGTCCAGCTACAAGTATTTCCAAAATAATTCAACACTTGCAGAAAAAATACCAAAACAAAGTATCCCTCCTCCCTGGATAGCAGCTGCATTTTTTTCTATGCACACTGCTTACATCATAACTGCACTCAGTTCCCATTGAGCAACCCCAACCAGAATCCAGAATGAACTTTTAAAGCATTACATTATGATTTGGTCTCCCTTATGCTCTAGTTAATCCAGCTTTTCACATATTAGAATACTGTGGTATGATATAATGATACCACTCTCAGTTACTTGCAACAACATATCATTATTACTTAATTTGTGGTTTTGCGGATTTCATGGAAACCGCAAAATCCAGGATTGTCCATGAAATCTGCCAAATCAACAACAAAAAAACCCTTAATAAAAATAAAATACTGGCTGCCTAGTGGGAACCAGTGGTCCTTGCTGCCAGGAGGGGAAGGTACCAGCTGGTGGGGCAGCACAGGGTAGCAGACAGGATAGCAGCTGCCCCGTTGTCCCTCCTCCCCCCACAGAGGCCTGTCCCCCATTTGGTGCCAAAGTGAAGGGCCACTTGAAGGGCAGCCGGCAATCAAAATGGCAGCCACCCTCCAGTCCCTCTTCTCCTCCCTGGGGACCTTTTTGCCAATCAGTGCCGAGGAGCAGGGCTGCTGCAAAATGACTGCAGAATCAGAATTTACTCCATGATCAACCCATGAAAATTGGCAAGTTTCCGTGCAATTTAAGTAGACCACTAGTTACAGTACAGCATAAATATATAGTACAGGATTGGTGCTTTTTTTGTGTTGGATGCTATGCATGCATGTGCGCATGCATGCGGACACACACAGAGTAGATATGGCCCCTACCACAAACTAATTGGGAAAAAGATGCACCATAGGAGTATAGTCAACAATACAGTTTGGGTGGTAGGGGCAAAGGTAACTGTTATAGTTCATGCAGTCACATGTTTGGATAATGTGTCCATTCTCCATGCTGCTTGTTTCTACTACAAGTATCTGCTCCTGCTGAGTTTCTCCTCCTTGGGTGATTCTGGAACCCTCTTAAAGGTCTGTTTTTTCTGTAGATGACTTCAAATTGAATTCTGTAGATGCACATGTGCTCAGACAAATCAGCGTAAATCCAGAGTAAGTCCACTGAAGCCCATAAGCTCTTCAGACATTAATATCTTCCTACATGTTGTGTAAAGCACCAGGTGACCTATGGAAATACATAAACAAACAATAATAATGGCACAATTAAATTACCATTATTCATACTTATGATGCTCATTTACACATCAGGTACTTTCAGCACCAAACCCAGAATTCAAGTTTACCTAATGAAATGCTATTTTGTTATTTACTATTTGCCTTTTTGTCAGACCCATTCCATCTTTGTGCTTCATAGAAATATTAATATTCCCTCCAGTACAGGATTCTTTCTGTATGAGAGCATGTTAGCACGAAGAAATGTCAAATACTCTAATTCAACTGCTTTTAGAAAACAGACATAAAATTGAGACTATAATAGTATAAATAGAGATGTGAAATTACACTCCAGCAGAGAAAGAAAGAAATAGAAAGACACTGAAACTGAGTTACAGACAGCTAGACATCCATTACATGTCTATATTGAAACACACTTATTCACAATAAGAGATACACATTTATCCACATCGGCACACAAAGCATTATACTAATTTTCATTTGTGGGAATTCAGAACTGGCAGGGACAACCATTCTTAATTTTCCATCCCATACAATCCCCTTCCAGAGAAAAGCTAAAATGTTTCTGAAGAGTGGCAAAGAATATCTCTCAGATATGGCAAGATGCCTATTTGACACCTATGTTTCATATTAACATAACACCTCAAGAGTGGGCACAAAATGTCAGAGAAGCTTCAGTGTCATTGACTTTCTTCCCTGCATCCTGCAGCTGATTGACTGTACTTCTTCTGTCCTGTCTTTTCACCCACAAAGAAGTATTTCCACTGGAAAAATACACAGGCTGTGTGTGATGCCAAGAACGTACCAAGGACGTACACTAAGTACCTGGGTGAACCTTTAAAACAGCTCCTGGATTCCCCAACAGTAAAGGTGTAGCTGATCACAGTGCAATGGCCATGACAAGGGTATAAAATTATTAATGTAAAACAAAAGAAATTGGGGAAACATTTGAATTTATAAATTTTTACACTTAACTCCTCCCCCTCCCTACAGGCTCTGCATACTTAATGGGGTGGAACCAAGCTGATTACAATTTAGTGGAAATGAGGGTATTAGAGCAGATTAAATTCATAGGAACTCCACACAGGATCAACTATGATGTTAATAACTCTGATTTTATTACAGTTCTTGTCACATTTATGTATTTATTCCATTTCTGTGTGACCCTTCCCAAAATTGGGAGTTTGATTCCAGGAACTATAGTTTCAAGACATACCAGGTGAATCTCCATGAGGCGCTTAATGGCAAATTAGCATAGTTTACTGTGAAGTAAGCACATGGATCTACACGTGCACATGCTTACTTCACAATAAATCTCCCTAATCCCAAGTAAATTTTCTACCTGCAAATGCAAGTAGTAAATTCACCTGGCATTAGTAAAAGCACCATTGTACTTGCGGAGACATCTGTCCAGGAGCCATATCTGATCCTGGTCAGCCATCCACCAGGGGCAGGAGATAGCTCCCTGCCCCCAGGAGCTGCCTGCTGCTGGGGCAGGCTCCGCCACAGGAGCCTGGGTACGGATTATGTCCTCCTGTCTCAACAGCAGCGAGCTCCAAGGCGATCCAGATTGTGATTACAGAGCAGAAGCTAAGAGATCACATTGGGAGAAAGAAGAGGGCGCCAGGCAATGTAGGGCCTCAGCAAGACACAAACAGTAATCTTGTGGCTACACCAGACAAGAAAGCTGATATTTTTAACAGTTTCTTTGCCTCTGTTTTCTTGAA